ACAAATCCGAAGCCAAAATTCCTCGGAAATTGGGGGGTCAGGGCGGACGGGCAATTTCCGAGGAATGTTACTAACATTCCTCGGATTTTAGTGGTTGGGCCTGGTCCACACGGATTGTCGGATTTTCCGCTCGGGCTCCCTGGTCCTGACGGGCGGATGAATTTCCGAGGAATGTTACTAACATTCCTCGGAAATTGCTCGTCCGCCCTGACCCCCCAATTTCCGAGGAATTTTCCTTAGCGACCCCCAGGATTCTGGCTAGGCAACGGTCCCCCAACCTTTCCTCCTAGTCAACACATTTGGCAGGCCTCGCGAAACCATCGCCGTGGCCTTCAGCGTTGCGATTTCTTATGCGATCCAGCATGAATGTTGTGTCCAAAGTTTCTCATATCACTGATCAGAAGTCAACATCGGCTTCAAAGGGGTTTCAAGGAGGGCGGGCTGGCCAGGTATGTGTGTTAGTCTATGTGTTTAAGAAAAGTAGCAGGCTCAAGCATTCCAGGTTCGTGTGTTCATGGGACAAAGCTTGCCGCCCTTCTCTGCGTAGTGGCAGCCAGGTGTGCAGGGGTGCAAAGGCAGGAAAAACAGCGTCAAGATCTTTGCGCACGGAAGCAAGAACGGTCTGCAGAGTAGTAGAACAGCAGCTGCTTTCTTGCCCAAACCAAATAGCCTAGCTTTTGCTGCCAACATAGGGTTCAAACATTCAACTGAGGGGCATGACTGTACGGGCTCCTGGCATATGTAGTTTCGGTCATGCTGTCTGATGCTCTGGTGCGCAGGGCGGCAACGCAGCTCAATCAGCACATGTGCATTGAGGATGCACAAGCCTTGTCTGATCATGGTTTGGAGTGTGTGCGGGAGGTTCTCTACGCATACCGACACATGGTACCAAAAAGCATGAGACGAGATGTAGCAGACGGCATTCGTTTTCTGACAGGTCTGCGCTTGGCTCTGCATCAACCAAAGGATGCAACTACATGGTCAGTGCTGGTCACTCGGGACGAAGCCTATCAGCCTCCTCATTCTGATGTCCCCTACTTCAGGCCTGCAAAATCTGTGACAAACCCAACTTGACCCGTTGATCTGAACCCCTTTGCTATGGATCCCAAACTCTAACCTATTTCAAGTTGTGTAAGCCCAGCCCAGAGGACCTACGACCAATGGTGGTTCGCGTTCCAAGAAAGCCTCCACGCGCAAGAAGTTTTACGACAGCACTGTGACAAATTTGGGGACATCCCAGTCGTGAGCAATCTTGTCGACAAGTTGCATGATACGCTTCTAGAGATCCATAGTGGGCTGACCCTGAAGGGCAAGGGTTTGCGCAGACCGCGGGAGTTCCTAGGAGTCAACCTCACAGAGGCTGCCATGCTTGAGGTCGCGACACAGCTGCTTCTCCAAGATGCCCTGGCGGCGAATTCAGTTGAACGATTGCGACATCTCTGCTATGTGTGCAGATTTACTTTCAGTGGCTCCTACAATGATCGCGTGGCAGAGCTGCTGGTATTTCTAGAGGGCATACAAGTCCTGCTAAAGGGCGAGAGCCTGCGTGCAAGCTTGCTTGGAAACCCGTCTTCTCGGGCCTTGTTCCCCCTCGATGACCCCGTGGCGCCGGCGAGGCCGGCCATGTCCTGTCAAGCGCATGCAATGTAGCGTCCCAAGTCCTATATAGAAAACCACCCCGAAAAGAGCAGGTCTGATGATGAGTGGGGGCGCCTAGAAGAACAACGTCGGGACCTACTAGGCATTTGCCATATCTGGAGAGGAAGCAGTGCTCGCTCTAGACACATGGTCCTCTTCCTGGAAACCGTGGAAGCAGTACTGCACCAACTCGGGCAGCAGCTGTCGGACCTCAGATTTCAATGCTTAGATTAGGCATCTGCAGTCTGCCAATTTGGGGAAGCCAGAAAGAAAAGACAGTACTGCCACATACTTGCTTTTGGTTGCGCTCTGCCTTGCTAAAGCATGTGACATGCATGGGTCTGACTGCTTGTTTTCCTTTGTGAGAAAGCTTCTTGCCTAGCACAGTTTTTGAGCAAGAGGCTCTACACCTCTCAAGTCATGGGGAAGCGTCCAAGCACCGGCGGGCAAGCTCCCAAGCGCAAGGTGTCCAAGGGTGATGTTGCAGTTGCGCCTCCAGTAGAGGACGCGGCTTCGGAACATAGCTGGTGGCCTCACCTGCAGACCTTCATGGACGAGGCGCTGAAGGATGGGCGCCCTGCGGACGAGTACCTTTCAGAGCGGTTCCCAACAGAGGCCGCACGTCAGGAGTTGGCGCAGAAGCTGGAAGGGAACTTCCCAGCGCCCGTGCCGCTCAGCTCCGACTACAAGCCTGGCCTGAAACACTTTGCCGTTTGGCAGATCTGCTGGAGCAAGCACGCCGGCCACAAAGGGTTTGTTGCCTCTCCAGAGTTGCGCACACTCGTGCAGTTGGTGCTTCTGCATGGACCAAAGACTAATGGCGCCGAGATGGCAGGTGTGGAATACATGGTCTTGCAGCCACTCGTGAAAGAGTACTTCCCCTCTGGGTGGAGCACGGCCGTGCACCAGAACCATCCTAAAGCCTATGAGGCCCAATCCGTGGCTTTTACGAAAGGCTGGACCAGAGGTCTAGCTTTCGTTCTGGCCGCTATCTTCCTTATGGACCAGGAAATCCTTGAGGATTACAAGTCCAAGCAGCCGGACCAGTTTGCCCGCTTCTGCCTCCTCCACGGCACAGTGACGCGGGAGTTCGGCAACGAGCTGGACCGAATTGCAGCTAACAGAGGCGCCTAAATTGCAATAGTTTCTTTTCTCAGCATGTGTGACATGAACCGGCAAGCCAAGACCTGACGATGGCAAGTGTAGCTACGCGCTCCAAGCCCAACGCGTTCAATGCTCTCCACCAGCTTCGACGACGAACCGTTCAAGGCCAAAGCCTTCAGGACATACTTGGAGCCTACTCCAGCTCCAAGAACACGAGACAGAGCATTCTAGGAATGTCCCCTGCGGAGTCGGCAGCAGTGGTAAATCTGGTGAACCACCTTCCGGAGGCAGCTGTGCAGCTGCTCGAAAACGCAGCCCGCCAATTTGGTATGTTCAAGGGCGCATTCAATCACCAATTCCTCGCTGCCCCGGAACTACGACTTCAACACGAGCCCAAGGTCATGGCCAACGAATGGCGTGCCATGCTCCGCAATGATGAGGAAAGCATCCTTCTAGCTATCCGGCGCATCCTCTTCTCCTATGAGAACAGCCCTCCCGGGCTCAGGAAGGCTGCCGGCCAGCCAGACGCAGCCCGTATGTGTCGCAACGCACGTTGCTGGGTTCTTTGCAAAGAGAAGATCCAAGGGAAGCTGCCAGACTCCTTGTTCCAGGTTGAGGCGCCTAACTTAGACAACATGTTCTTCAAGGGAAGCTTCGACGAATGGTTGGACCGCCTCTGCGAGGAATGCCCAGCAGAAATTGATGTGTCAGAGACACCGGAAGTGAAGCTACTTATGGCGCGGCACCAGGACAGTCTGCAGAAGGAGACCGGGGGGTGAGAGGGGGGGGGGCAGAAAGCTAGTGCGACATAAGGACACTTGTCAACCCCAAGACTTCAAACCTTTACAGCCCCAAAGTTTCAAACCAACATAAACTGTGTATCTCTCTCTAGGTGAAGCACCGGAAAATAACTGAGCCCACTGCGGCAGGAGACATTGAAGAAGTCCGAGGCTGTTCGGCACCAGGTTGCCATTGCGACCTTCAGCAAAATGAACCACGACTTGGAAGAGGATCAGAAGGCGTTGGAGGAATGGGCAAAAGCCGAGCGGGCTCGCAAGAGCAGTTGGGAGAATGTGGTCTTGACGCACAAGCGCAAACGCTACGTTCGGGGGCAGAAGGCTGTCAAGCACTACACTGATGTGTACTTGCGGATTCGTCAGAGTGAGCTGAAGTTCACAGAGATGCAGCTGGCTGAGTGGCGCGCAGCGGTGGATGCAGCCAGTGGTGTAGCCTCGGACGCAAGGCAACTGCTTTGCCCGCAAACCCTAAACCCACAAAACTTAAAAGTCCAAAGCCCCAATAAAGCCTAAAGAAATGGAAAGCCCTAAGCCCTAAGCCCTAAAACGTATAGAATAGAAGCCCCCTAACCCTAAAAACTTAAGAATAGAAAACCATCAACCCTAAAAACTACAGAGATAGAAGGCCCTAAACCCTGACAACTAAAGAGACATAAAACCATAAGCCCTAAACCCTATACGAAGGTCTCTCTTGGTGATATTGGATCTTAGCGTGACCGCTACGAATGCAGAGATTGATGACCTGGTTGACACGGCCTGCAACCTGCTACACCAGAATGGCAATCATGTCCTGCTGCTCTACAAGCCAGCAAGGTATGGGGGGCAGAGCGTGAAATCTCAGCTGAGCTCCCAGCGGCGCGTGGAGGATCGTCTCCTTGCAAACGGGGTCAACATGGAGTGTGAGGTCAGCTTGGCCTATGAGGTTGCTAACCGGCATGGCAATGATCGGCGACCGCTTGGAGGAAGAGTGCAACTCTGCTTTAGCGATAAAGCTGGGCAAGAGACTACGCCAAGGCTGCTGCAGGGAAAGGGGGCACAGGGAAGTATCACGGATATCCCTCTACTTCGAGCTCGGGAAATGCGAAGGTTGCAGCCACCAGGTGAACTTGGGGATGGTACCGAGGGCTACAACCTGTCCCCCGCCGCCCGCTGTGCCCACCGAGGCTCTGCTGCTGCGGAGAAAATGATTCAATGCTTGCTGCAGGATTCGGGGCTGGATTCAGGGAACAACCATCTGGACATCCTCGAGCTCACCACAAGCAACACGGGGGATTGGAGCGAAGCTTGTTTCAGGATGCAGCTGAAAAAGCCTACAGACACGAAGCTGCCCTTCATCTACCACCTGGGCCTCACTCGTGAATCTGATGCTGAGAAAGCCGTTCAATCCCACATGGAAGCTCTGCTTATGCAAGAATGGTGGCCCCTTCAGCCAGACGCCGGTCCTGCTGAGCCAGCCAACGCCATGGGGACAGAGAAGCCGGATCTCATCCTGGGAAGCTTTGTGGACGGACGCCCGCAAATCTCGGATTTGGTTGCAGGCAAGTTTGATGAGGACCGACCCGTCAAAGTCAGTCAAGAAGAGAAAAAGAGGGGGAGACAGAGAGACCCGTGCAGAGAGAGATATGTAGACAAAGAAATAGAGAGACAAAGCAGGTGCATGGGACAGAAAGAATAAAGAAAGAGAAACAGGTCGGGAACCAAACACAAACGAAAACAGATAGAGACAGAGAACAGGCCCAACAACAATTGGTGCGTCGGTCTTACCTGGCGCCTCAAAGATTCTGTTATTCTCTGCAGTTAGTACACTTAGTGGATGAGACCTGCAATGTGTGCAACAACAAATATCCTGTCAATTCAATGGCTGATGCTTTGAATATCTGTTAGTCTGTGAGTCTGGCGTGAATCTGAATACCTACACATTCCCACCAATAATCGTTCTG